CTCTCTCTCTCTCTCTCTCTCTCTCTCTCTCTCTCTCTCTCTCTCTCTCTCTCTCTCTGTGTGTGTGTGTGTGTGTGTGTGTGTGTGTGATGATGCCGGAGTTCTGCTGCTGACAACCAGGTGAGTATTGGCCAACCTCACAGCCGTGCCTACCACCCAAAGACCTCCCCTATGCCACGTCAACCTCCTCTCAAGCACAGCATCCTTAAGCCCTGGCGACTGCAAACCTCTCCGGCGCTACCGCTTGTGCCGGCTTCCTCTCCAGGCCCTTCTGCTGCACTGTGTGCATCCAAGTATTAACGCTCTTGCGAGTGCGGGCTTGCCCAAATGGTCACCCTGTGAGGCTGCGGTCTTCTCTTGCTGGTAGGGGCTGCTTACCAGGCCAGTTAGTTCAGTCTGTCGGGATGCTGACTTGCGGCATACTGAACTGTGCTTGCTACCTGGACAGGCATGCACAGAGCAGCTTAAGAAACCAGAGGCGTTAATGATGAGTAGCTACCATTGTCCCCTGTATGGAATGTACGGTCATGATAGACACCGTATCTGGACCGAAAGTGGCCCCAAATACGGCTATAATGACGGTACGTTCTATTCAGGAGATCACGGTAGGGACTCTAAAAGTGTTCGATGCAGCAAGGGAGCTGGATGTTTTTGATTTGCACAGTTTTGCAGTTTATAAAGTTTGGACTTAACCACTGAGAACAGCTTGACCAATCCATCAGCCAAGTATTGGCGGAGCTTCAGAAGCAGGAGGCACGGATGACGCATATGTGCAGTCAACGCGAGCAATTGAAGCAGGAATTGAAGGCGGCTAAGGACAAGGATGCTACGAACAAGAAGGCACTCGCTCAGAAGGTAATGAACGAAACTTCAATGAAGCATCGGATCCTTTTCTGTTTTTTTTTTTCTTTTCTTTGTGTTTGTCTTTTTTTTCCTGAAGTTTTTCTCCAGAGTATGTGTGTGACCTGTCAGGCACATGGGCCGCATGTCCGTAGTACCACTCGGTTCCACATGGGGGGGATGGGGGCATCATGTGCTGCATGTATGTCCCGTTCAGCGACATGGGCGTACCCACTCAGCCACGTGGACCTGATAGCCCATCTCTTTTCAGGAACTAACTCTACTTAGTCTGCTGTCATCATTCTCTACCTCCTGTTGTGAGCTTGCTAAGTTGCTAGGTCCTACCCTTTTTTCTTTTTTTATGGGACCATTTCTTGATTTATGCGTGTCATCCTTGGGCAGGGGCCATGCTAGTCTTCATTCTCTGTATCGTTCCAATTTTAATGGATGTCGGGAAGGACATCGTCCCTTTTTTTTTTTTTCTCTTACGAGAAATGTCCATTTGTACCTCTGTGCCATCATCCTGTGCCGTCTTTCTTGTCCCTGTGTTTGCTGGTAGACGACTCATTTTTTCCCAAGAAGTCTGATGTGCATACTTGTTTTTTTGCTGTTTCCTCGGTCGATTCGCTGGCTACAAATAATTTAGGAGAAAATGATTTCAGCGACGGCGAAGGGACTGCAGGACCTTCAGGAGCGAGTTGCATCGCTGCAGGCAGAGTTGGGCACCGACTTGTCTTCGGATCTGTCCCCAGCTGAGCAAAAACTTCTGTCTCAGTTAAATCCAGAGATTCGACAGCTGAAACAGGAACTCATCAACTGCAAGACAAAGCGTATGGAGGTGCGATTTTTTTAACCACACACACAAGTGCTGAGGTTGTTCTTCTGATGCGGTTTCACCCTCTGCTAAACATCCTCCTCCTATAAATCATAGCTAGCTGTTATTCGCCACACATTATTATTTGCGGTGCCTGCCTGTGTGAATGCCTGAGGATGTTGTCTTTCTTTCTTTCTTTCTTTCTTTCTTTCTTTCTTTCTTTCAGGGCTAGCCCCTAGCTCTTTATTGTTCATCTGATTGCTTCAGGGATCAGAATTTGAACTTAGATGTATTTGCTCTGTTCAGTGTTTACTACCTACCAGCTGTGTGTGTGCGTACCTTTCAGCCACTGGCACTGGGATGGGTGTTACGTTGCTCTTTCACTGTGTTGAAGGTCTTCGTATAGATCGTTCCAAAATAGTTGAGACTCGAAGACAACTAGACAGGCACAACAAACAAACCATGGCTATGAATTCACAGGCAGACTCAAAAGGTAACCACACCGTGACCATACTGTCGAAACCATGGTTTGCTGTGCCTGTGAATGCATTCTTCATAGGTAACTCGACGAGTCAGGCATCCGTACCGCCCCTTGCTTGGTGTGAGAGAAAGAAAAGGAAGTCGGAGTGTGTTGTGTTGTTTTTTTTTTCAATTTAAGTTAATTTGGATGTCCCGAAAAAAAGGACAGTTGGTGGGAGTTAAAACGAAATCCAATGAAAGACATATAGCTTCGCCCCTACACATTACTGTGTAAGTACCCCAAGATGATGAGCTGCCAAACGACTCCCCGTCGATATGAGCTCTTGGGAAGTTGGGAGTCGTCAGCCTGTTATCTCCGGCGATATGGCTTTGATCCGTCCGTTGAGCGAGAGAGCCCTTGTGGCGGCATTGCTGCCTACTTTAGCATCATCAGAAGCATAAGTAAGAGGTAACAAAGAAGAAGCTAATCCTCTCCCAATATTGTCCAGATCTTGTTCAACAGGGGCCATACATTGCATGAAAATCACAGAAGTTGCACTCAAAAAAAAGTAACAAATGCTTTAAAAAAAAGAGCATGGTTCATTTTTATATCTCTATACATATAAAGGAAAACGCGGGTCTCGCGTGACGGTCCCGCGTGAGACCCGGTTCCCTGGTGTGGGACTCGTGGCAGGCCCAAGGCGGACTGCGTGCCGGTTCGGTGAGGCCGGGGCCGAGTCAGGTTGCCTGCGGGTGGACAACGGGCTCTTTCTTGGCTACCGTTTTTTTTCGCGCCGCGCCGGGGGGGTGTTGGTGTCGGCGCCACTTTATGAACGGGCTCTCTTTTGGGTACGGTTTTGTCGGCCATGTTCAACCAGGTAGTGAATATTTCCATGTTCTAGGGAAAGATTCATTCGATTTTGCTCATCCTATCGCTGGAAGTA